CCATGGGTACTGCATACCATTGTAAGGTTCGGTACGCTTCGCCCAGCCATACCTCCCTCTGAGTCAAATTTTCTAATTCAGATACCCATTCGTCCTGGAGTTTCCTCTCCAAGGAACTGCATCTGCAATTCAGGCTGATCACAAAATTGCTGCTCTGTGGCTAAAAGTAATTCTCCCCCCAAGAACTTGAACCTCCTTGAGAGCCTTGTTCCACAGTTCTCTTCAAATCACATCCTTCCAGTCCAGCTCGCCCTCTTCTAAGACAGGGCCATCAAACTGAGCCAGAGCTTCCTGGAGTCTCCACCGAAATTCAGAAATAGGTGACAAATCAATAATAGATCACAAAATTAACTCCTTCATGCTTGACTCACATTCTGTACCTATTATGGGCATTACGCTGAACAGTAAAAAATTAAAACATTAAAAATCAAATTATCTTTTAAAAGGAAACCCTTAATGAAAAGCTTTAATGGTTTGTGTCAATTTGTTGTTACTTTTTTAGGTTTACAAACTGATATTTTATAATATTTTAATTATTTATATAAAGTATTTCATTGAGCACAAACACATTAGCTTGACAAGACAGTGTATGTTGCCTGTCAGACAGTAAGTATCTGCTAGTTAAGACTTTGCCTTCTTTGCTAGCAAAAGAAAGCCTTGGTAGCCCTCACCTCTTGAATGCAAAAGTCTCTGTTTAGCTCAACAGTTGCTCTCTGAGACTTCAGCTCCTATCTGTGACTTTATTAGCGTTTCACAAGCTGGCTGCAAATGAGTTTGCAGAAGCACAGTTTTCATCAACCTAATTAAAGTAAAAATATTTTATTTCTTTTAATACTAAGAAAATAAAGTTAATATTCAAATTCTAGCAGAAGGCCAGTCATGACTGGTTCTCTTTTTTCTGCGACCCTGGTTGTATGCCCATAATTGTGCAAAGTATATCTAAAGCTGAAACTTTTTTATTTCATTTTGGATAGACTATATGAAGTGGTTAAAACTCCAGTCATATTTTTTGCCATCTGTGTTTCATTGAGGAAGGGAGGATTCCTTAATTTTCTGTCCTGTAGACACAACAGGAAATCATAGGAAATCTCACCAAAGTAAAGCAAAATTTCCTTCCAGGCAGTTGTCACAAGAACAGCTGCTGAGATGATCGAGATATCACCCTTCCCATCGAAGAACACATGGGCAGAAAGCAGTAAAAAGCTTACTAGAATTCTTATACTTCGCCACTCATTCTACAACTAGAAAAAAAGTTTTGGCTAAACATACACTTGAAGTCCCCACTCAAATTTCAGTTGAGTGAAATTTTTCTTTTAAGTGTTCCAGTATCTTCTGTAAAGTTCTTCATGGATACATTATTACAGTTATTATTGCAACATTAGGTTTTATTTTATATCCAAAATAGAATGATTACAATGATTTAATATTAAATAGCACAACACTATTAGAGTTAATTAGTTTGTTTCTTCATGCAGGTGCAAATGATTAAAGTCAGGCTGTCTTACTTCTCCCTACCTATAATTTAGCTCACTACAAAGAAAACACTCAAAGTTGTTTTGAATCACACTGTGACAATATAGCATTCTCGTACAGCAGTTAGAGCACTTACATGTACAAATACTGTCTATGTCACAATGATGCATTTCAAATGGTGAGGCCCAAACAAAATGTGTCAAAAGCTTTTTTGTTCAAAATTTGATTTTGAGAAACCTGCTGTAAACTATGACTTACAATATAAAGGTAATAAAAAAAAAAGTTTAAAGATTATATCTTTTAAGTGTAGACGACAATTTCCATTGACAGCTGCTTGTGTATAGACAGCAGATTATTAGAAAAAAGTTATTGTAATTGAATTAGTGACTCTAAATTGGCTGTCAGAAGCACCTCTTGTAATCTGTAACTAAAGCAATACTGGTGATTTGATGGTCATCAAGTACATTGGGTACTCTTAGCAGACGAGTCTTTAAATCAATACTAATTTATCCAGTGGTAATTACCAATTTGGTGTCTTGTTTAATTGCATATTGAATTTGTTATATGATTATTCTACTAAATAATGATGTTGCTAGAGACAGTAGCTCACCACTGTTAGAGAGTCAAGAGCAGAAGATTTAACAGAAAATAATGTCCACCTTGCAGAAATATATTATTTAAAATATAGGTGCAATTTTAGAATACCAATCACCTCACTTCCTTGCCAAATTCTAAAATATAGAACCAGAGCTCAGAAGCACTGTATACTTCAGCAAGTTTTGCTTTGATTCTTTAGTGTAAGTGCCTTTGCTTAACTGTGCATTCACACACAAGTCATACAAAATGACTGCTGCAAAGTATTGTACCATTTACCCCTTGAAAAAGCTGCTGGAATTGTTCAGGCGCTCCTTTTTTTCTAATGGTGACCTACCCTATAGCTGCACCCAATGATACCCCAACTATCAGGCTTCAGGCTCCTAAGGTTTATTTGCTCTAACCCTTAACTGTAGCAAAAAAGGTTAGAGGACATGATACATAAAAAGGAAGAAAATCTTCAAGTAGCAGCGAACTGATAGTGTCCTTTTAGGAGCAGTGTTCTTAAATAGATCAAGTTGATGGCCACTCTAATATTTTAGTAGCAACTTACCAATAATAGACTCTAGATAGGAGATTTACTAAAACTGGTTGACTCAGAATCTTGGGCACCTGTGCATGGTAGCCAATCAGCTTCTAACCTTAGCATGTTCAGTTAAGCTTCAGCAATAAAACCTGGAAGCTGATTGGTTTTTATGCAGAAGTGGACAAGATTCTGAGTCAACCAGGTTTAGTAAATAAACCCCTAGATAACAGCACCATCGTAGGTACCTAAAGTAGCAACAGAACTCCTCATGCATTCATCATCCTCCGGCAGCATTTTCTCCCAAGCTCTCCAGGGCAACATACTCACAGTAAGCTCTGCAAAAGATTCTTTAGATGGCTGGCTATCTTCATATTTCGTAGGACTTTGCCTCAGCCAGCTCTAGGTTCTGTAGATTTCTTACACCTCTTCCAAAGGTCAGCTTCAGGTTCATTAGGCTTTTGCCACAGTCCAGTTTGAATGCCTTGGGTTAAGGTTAAGTGAATAAACTCTTCTTTATTTTGACTTCCTCCCCCAGGCAAAGGCCTGAGAAAACAAGACCTTACCCCAAAGTTTGCCCCAAAATGTGGATGTTCGGCATTTACACATCGGTAGAAAAATTTGGCCATTTTTCCAACTGAAACATCCTGCTACAGAACCAACGCGAAATAATTATTTTTTTGGCAGTATTACTATAAATTAATGCTTCCTATTGTGCAGGCTGTATAGTGTCACTGGTTGATAAGATGTAGGTGGCCGCTTGCTTTATAGCAAATACTATCCTGCTGCTTTGTGAACAAGTTGATGGGAATCATGGGAGATGTCATTGATAAAAGAAGATCAGCAGGTCAGGACCTGAATCTGAATGCAGGACCACTGCTGCTCTTCTTCATGCTGGACAGCTTCTTGCCTGATCCTTGGACAAACTTACTTTCTATCTTGTTTCTGGAAACTTTGAACTAATTGCTCCTTCCATGAACTTTATATTTAGGCCATTCCTTTGAACTTCCTGTTTTTCAGATTATTGCACTCTTCTTCAGCCAGTATTTTGCTCCTTACACGTCTGCTGACATTGGCATGTTCATGACCATTTGTTACTAATTTTAGCTTGTTCTTTGACTACACTTCTACTCCCAACCTGCAACCACTTGTCACTGACCTTGACTTGCTTACCGACTACGCTTCTGCCGGATCCCTACCTGCTACATCTGTTACCATACCCTAGTTTGCGGGCAACCCTGCATCACGCACCAAGGGAACCTGCTTGTGTATGTATCCTGATGGTTTCTGTGTGAGCCTTTCCACTGCTATAGTCACTGGCCTCCGAGCCTGACCCCTAATTGTGACACATGGCCATATTCGGTCAATGATGTTGCACAGCTCCCAAGCCCATTGTTTACATTCAGCTGGGGGTTGTTATTTGTGTCATTTTTTTATTAACCACTTGCCCTCCTGACTGAAAGTAGGTAGGTGGTCTTTTTCCTGTTCCTTGGGGCCCCCTCAAGATACCAACGGTCACACCTGGATACAGCTACGAGATCTCGGAAAGTGAATGCACTCAAGTCACCTCAGTTGCGATTGCAAACACTTCAGTTTTATTGGCATATCATCAGCGTTATTATACTGTAGTCTTTGGGCAAACACACCCTCACACCATCCAATCAAATACATGTACATTTTTTTTACCTTAACTCCACAATTATTTGTATGAGGTTTGCATTTTCACTCTTCTGCTTTATCTGTCATGCCATATCTGGTCTAACGCCCAGACCATGGCTGTAATCTGACCCAACGCCCAAGTTGTGGTTACAACTTTTCAGAATCTGCTTTTTTGTAAAGTTTGCAAAAACACTCATTTCTACATGAAGCTGGCATTAACAGTTTTGTTAGTGTGTACATATCTCATATATGTATGTTAAACTAGCATCTTGTATTAGTGTATACAAAATGGATTCAGTTATATTCCATTTAATCCTTTCACTGACCAGGCCATTTTTTGCTTTACGGCGCTGCAGTACTTTAACTGACAATTGCGCAATGCTGCACCCAGATGAAATGTACGTACTTTTTCCCCATAAATTGAGCTTTCTTTTGGTGGTATTTGATCACTTGTGCATTTTTTATTTTCTGCGCTATAAAAAAAAGACAGACAATTTTGAGAAAAAAAACACTATTGTGGACTTTTTGCTATTAAACATGTCCAGTAAAAAAATTTAAAAATCAAATTTCATCATAAATTTAGGCCAAAATGTATTCTGCTACATGTCTTTGCTAAAAAAAATCCCAATTCGTGTAAATTAATTGGTTTAAGTGAAAGTTAGAGCGTTCACAATTGGTGGTATATATATTGGGATTTAATTTTTTTTTTTGTACTAGTAATGGTGGCAATCAGCAACTTACAGCGGGACTTCAGGACTGTGGCGGGCATTCTGACACTGGGGGGAACTGACTTAGTGTCACTGATATCCCCAGTGACACCAATACAGTGATCAGTGCTAAAAAAAAAGCACTGACACTGTACTAATGGCACTGGGCAGGAAAGGGTTAACATGAGGGGTGATCAAAGGGTTAACTGTGTGCTGGGTGTGTTTTACTATTGGCCTGTGTCCGTGTGCTTCACTGTAAGCACACTGCTATGGATGGCTGTGCACAGCCATCTAAAGCAGTGTGCACAAGTTGACAGGGAGGAGAACTGTTTTGTTTACAAACACATTTATCCTCCCTGTTGGAGATCCTCGGCAATCACCAGGTCCCAGTGAGTAATCACCGGCCGGGACCCGGTGATTGACAGCCGTGGCCATGAATGGCAGCGCGGGTAGGGTGTGTGCGTGCCTTGCAATTGCCTCCTACCTGGAAATGCAAAATCATGTATAAATATACATGATTTTGGGCACCGCTGCCACCCTGTAACAGTATTCCTGCAATAGGGCGGTCGGGAAGCAGTTAAAAGAAAAAACAATGAGAGGGTTCCTCCCAAATCTATACCAGACCCTTATCCTAGATAGTAGTCTGTTATGGATTTTCCTCTTTTGTTGAGAAAAAAAATATTCCCCTCTGGGTGATCAATGTAGCTTGCAAAATGTTTAACAAACTTTGTTGCAGTTTCCTACCTCTTGTTATTCTGAAGAAAAAATTTTATTTGCCTGTGTCCATGTGCAAAGTGAATGTGAGTGACTTTATAATTGTCAGTCAGCTGCTGTACTTGCATAGTTCTAATGAGGAAAATGGCAGGTTCTGAATCCCTTTAGATGTGATTTCTCTTTGGGAGTATCACCCAAAATGAAAGGTGTTGCAGGGGATGCCCAAAATCTGACCTGTATTTTAGTGAAAACTTCTAGGAAAATCAGTAAGCCAATCACACCAGCAGGAAATTCCATTTCTGGGGGATGTTCCATACACCATCAGTGTACAGAATGCCTCCAGGTTGCCATATTGTATTGTATTTTTCAAAAAATTGCAGCGCTGTAGATTAAAAAGGAAATGTACTTTTTTACCATAAATCTTTAATTTTATTATCACAAAATGTACAACAAAAAAAAAATGCATTGTAGTACAATGTGTTGCATCAATGGTACAGAATATTCATAGGTACTTTAAATCCAGTGGTGGAGGGACCCTCTTGCATTGGTTTCGTTTTTTGGTGTTTTTCATTGTGGTTATATGGTATATATAAGTTATAGGATTGATTTAACAGGTTAGTCATTTTTAATCAAACCATTACCTCTGACTGGATTTTAGCTTTTACAAAATATAATGTATTAATATAGTGCAGCACTTGGTTTTTAATTTGGGGTAGAGGACTGTTAAGTGTGAGAGTCATCTAGTGTGGTGTGCAAGGATATTATGCAATCAAAGTGCATCACTCAATAACAATTGCTAACAGCGTTAAATAGACTCAGACTATGAAGCATGTAATGAGCAAATAAACAAGCAAGTAAACATGGGTATGTGTTCTACAAGGCATGGGCGGCCACAGGTAGTTCTTCAAGACAGTAGCATTAAAGGGGATATGTGTCTTTAAAAATAAAGGGTAATTTATATTAATGTTGGGCTCCTGTGGCCAGTGATCCATACTTTCCTCACTGGACAAGGGAACCAGAGATTGTCAGGTGGGTTTTAGTGAACATGTATTTGAGGAGGAAATGATCATAAGAATATTGATGCCCTCTAGGAGAGATGGAGGTTGCAGGCATTTCTATTTCCTGGCAAGAGCAAGGTGAAAGGTAATTTTTATTAACAGTATATTACAATATGGCTTGTATCACAATTGTATATGCTATATTGTTTTTTTTTTTAATTTGACACATTTTTCCCATGAAAGTGGAGTTACCCATTAAGGGGGGACCCCACAGAGAAAAAACAAACAACTGCATGGGATCCCCTCAAAATTCATACAAGACCCTCATCTGAGCATGCAGGCTGGCACATGCCCTCAACATGGGGAGGGTGCTTTACAGGGGGTGAGGGTCTGTGGGAAGAGGCATGTTGAAATTTTGAAGCCCGTTTAAAGATAAGGAGGTCCCTTGGATACTGACCCCATCTGGTGACTGGGGAAGCTATTGGAGTACAGTGAACACATTGTCATGTTCAAGAACTCAGTTTGAGATGATTTGAGCTTTGTGACATGGTGCATTATCCTGCTGGAAGTAGCCATCAGAAGATGGGTACACTGGCACCCAGTGTGGTCTTCTTCTGCTGCAGCCCATCTGCTTCAAAGGGGTCAACGTGTTGTGTATCCAGAAATGGTATTCTGCATACCTTGGTTTTAATGAGTGGTTATTTGAGTTACTGTTGCCTTTCTATCCTCTCAAACCAACTGCAGCTCACTGGATATTTTCTCTTTTTCGGACCATTCTCTGTAAACCCTAGAGATGGTTGTGTGTAAAAATCCCAGTAGATCAGCAGTTTTTAAAATACTCAGACCAGCCCATCTGGCACCAACAAACATGCCACATTCAAAGTCACTTAACCTCTTCCAGTCCACTTATCCTACCTAGATGGCAGACGGGAAGAAGCGCCGATGTGGGCTAACGTTCCTTTACGTTCCTGTACATCAACCCACATCTATGGCTCCTGCACAGCTCACAGAGCGTGCACCCGGGAGCCCAGACACAGCAGATCACACTACTGCTTTGTAAAGGCAATCACGTGGTGTTTTACCATGCGACTGCTGTGACCAATCACAGCACTCACATAGTAAACACTAAAAACTGAAAGTAAAAGATCGGTTCTCTCTGCTTTCAATGTGAGAGCAGAGAGAAGCGATCCTGCACTGTGTAAGTGTACAGCAGCCTGTCAGGCTGCTTGTACAAACACACACTGCAGTGCCAGCTACCCCAGTACCCCAGTTTAGTGCCCCAGTGTCCCTGATCACTACCCCACAAAAACAAATAATAAATAATGCAGGGAGGCCCTGTCACCTGTCCTAGTGTACACAAAACACCCCCATACACCATACCAATTCAGTTATGATCACTGCCATACCCCAAACCAACACGCTGATCACTGCCATGTGCCATACCAGCACCCTGATCACCTCTATACACCATACCAATGCCCTGATCACCGCCATACACCATACCAGTGCTCTGATCACCTCCATACACCATACAAGCACCCTGATCATCACCATACCCCATACCAGTATCCTGATCACTGCCATACCCCATACCGGCATCCTGATCACTACCATGCCCCATACCTGATCACTTCATATGCCATAGCACTGTGCTGATCACTGCTATACTGCATACCAGTGTCCTGATCACCGCCATACCCCATACCATCACCCTGATCACCACAATACCCCATACCAATGTTCTGATCACTGCCATACCCCATACCAGTGTTTTGATCACTGCCATACCCAATATCAGCATTCTGATCACAGCCATACCCCATACCAGCATCCTGATCACCCCCCCATTATCTGTTAACAGCATCCTGGCTACTGCCATACCAGCGTTCTGATCACTGTCATACCTCATGCTAATGTCCTGATCACCGCCATACCCCATAACAGTGTCCTGATCACTGCCATATGCCATACCAGTGTCCAGCATTATAGGATCTCAACTGATCAATTTTCAAATATATATCCCATAGTTGGTAGACTCTATAGCTTTCACACAAAATAAATAATATAAACTGTTTTGGGTTATTTTTACCCCCAAAATGTAGCAGAATACATTTGACCTAAATTTGTGAATAAAAATTATCTATTTGCAAAATTTTATAGCAAAAACTAAGCAAAAAATGATGTTTTTTTCAAAATTTTCGGTATTTTTTCATTTATATAGCAAAACATAAAAGCCCAGTGGTGATCAAATACCACTAAAAGAAAGCTCTGTCTCAAAAAAAGGATAAAAATGTCATATGGGTACAGTGTTGCATGACTGAATAATTGTCACTCAAAGTGTGACTGACAGTTGGCCTGGACTGGAAGGGGCTGAAAGTGTCCTTACCTGAAGTGGTTAAATCCCCTTTCTTCCCCAATCTGATGCTCAGTTTGAACTTCAGCAAGTCATCTTCACTACGTCTAGATGCCTAAATGCATTCAGATGCTGTAACGTGATTGGCTGATAAGCAATTTGTGTTACCAAGCAATTGTACCTAATAAAGTGAGTGTATAGTTACATAGTTGGTAAGTTTGAATAAAAACACCAGTCCATCCATGTGTGGGTGTGGGTTCATGTCAAAAATCATTTCCCATACCCCTGTATACTGTACTCGCTAAGATGCCCATCTAAGGTTTTTTGAAACTATCAATACACCACTGGTTGTGAGTAGAGATGAGCGAATTATTCAAAAATTCGGTTCGGCTGATTCGCCGAATTCGCCGAATAAATTCGCTTCGAGCCGAATATATTCGCTGCGAATTTAACTTATAAAAAGGGTGTTTCTAGGCTTCAGAGAGCCTTTATATTAGTGCAGAATACTGTACCTTTAATTTAAATGCCCTTGGAGTCTGCTGGGGAAGAGAAATAATACTGTCAGTCAGTATGACATGCAGATGAGTGCCGTCGATCTTAGAATCACCGCACACTTCACTCATTTGGGCAGTCACGGGGCCAAAACCAGAGTGTGGAGCCACAGTGTGGCGGTGGAGGCAGCAGCAATGGGAGGCCATACAGCACCCTATGACAAAATGGAACCCACCAGCAGTGTGAGGAGACCTGAAAGTGGCACATGGCAGAGTGTGGCGATGGAGACAGCAGCAATAGGAGGCCGTACAGGGACCCATGACACACTCTGGACCTGGCAGCAGCATGAGGAGGGGTACAGGGGCCCATGACAGATTACGGGCCTGGCAGCAGCATGAGGAGTCGGTACGGGGGCCCATGGCAGATTACGGGCCTGGCAGCAGCATGAGGAGGCGGTACAGGGGCCCATGGCAGAGTGGCGGAGCGTAAGCAGCTAAAATTGAAGGCCATACAGAGGCCTATGTTAAAAAGTCCCCCCAGCAGCAGCGTGGGGAGACGACTATCAAGAGTCCAATGGCAGAGTGGCGGAGCAGAAGCAGCTTCAATTGAAGGCCATACACAGGCCTAGGTTTAAAAGTCCCTCACAGTTAATTCCAATAACGAACTCTACTCCTCCGTGCAATCTACTTACGAGACCCTGGGCAGGTCTGCGTCCAATTTGTGGTAGAGACCGGCTGCTGGTCACAACATTTTTAGTAAACAGCTTTCAGATACAAAAGTAAAATTGAAGTATTATTGAATATCAAGTTTTCAACTGGCATCCAATATATATTTGTAAACCAAAACGCTTTATTATTTTGTCAATAAACATGGTAGTGTGCAGATTTCTGCAGTCAAAGCTCGTTGTCATGCCCCTATAGCTGTATCTTAGAATAACAGGGAGGT